TTTAGTAGTGTTTAAATAAATTGAATATTCTTGAATTGAAATATTTTGTTATTTTTTATTCGATTTTTTCACATGATCCACATTATTGCACCTGTTATCTAGTATTTCAAAAATTAACACAATGAATGCCAAAGTGTATCCAATAATCAAAATTATAAATACACCACTAAATGTTTCAAGACTTATATTTAAAATATTTTCATCTTCCAATGTTGCTGATTCATCAGCTTTTGAATACTTTTGAATGCTAATTTTCCATCTATCAAATAAACCAGCTGAAATACATATGGATATAACCTTATCAAATCTTTCTCTTAGAGGAAACCCTTTGTAGTATATTATTTCTACAGGAATACTAATTATGATCTTTTGTGAAACATAGATGTTACTTAAAACATCCTGTGGCATACATGAAAGATAGAGTGTACTCAGTAATGTAGTAATATTTTTATATTTAACAATATATTCCAAAGAACGAGTTGCAGAGATTTTGTGATAATGTTTCAAAATGTATAAAGAGTTTGAATCATTTGTAAAAGAATATACATAATTAGCAGTAGAAACTCCGGCTACGATGAGATTATTTTCCACAATTTCATCTTCACTTGACATTTGATAATTTTTTAAAGGAAATGAAAATGTACTTATAAGTCCTGTTTGAAATATGGCAACGTAATTAATGTTAAAACAAAACAAAAACATGAGCAACATTCTGAGCGCAACTTTTTTAGGAAATGTACCCATAAAATTATTCATTGTCATCGAAAATATGTTCATTAAAGCACCAAAAAAAGATTTAAATAATAATCGTTCTTGTGAATTTTTTGCCAATAAGTAAAACACCACAGAAGTCAATATTACAACTACCACAAAACTGCATAATACAATTGGTGTTAAAATTGTCCCAAAATTCTTCCAACCAGGTGCCAATCCTGCTTGTGGAAACACGAATACTTGCGAATCTTGAAGATAATCTAATGAATGATCAAAATATCTATGTACATAAGCTTCAGCAAAATTTCCACCAATTGCTATATCTGCACTTTTATTAGAAAGATATTTGAACATTCCGGTACACGTTCCATTTTTGGTGACTCTGCCCCAATTTTCAGGAATAGAAAATGATCGATAAACAAACTTTATATTGTAATATTTTTCCAAAACTTGCAACATTAAAATTTCATATCCATTTTGCAAAGGAATGTCTACATTGTCCTTTATTTCATAATCAGGAGGTGCAATAACAAATGGTGGCCAAATAATTGCAACTACCTTAATTATACAGTTATTCATGTTTCTTGGTGATTTTTCTGGAAACATATCCTTTTCATATATGAATTTGCCATGTTTGCAGGTGTTTATTTGCGTGTACCTGTGAAAATCATCTCCACAACTACCATTTGCATATGGAAACCAAGAAACAACTTGCAAAATTGCGTTGTCATTTTTATCTGGTACAAAAATTAAGGTATTTAGGGCATAAAGACTCCATAGTGTCTCTATCAATTGTATAACCAATTTCGTACTGGAAGTTTCTAAATTCATTAACAATATTACAATGTATGCACTGGGGTTCCAAGTTGGCAAATTTTTGAGAACATCTAAATTCTTTAGGAAATCTTCGTGCGTTTCTATGAGCAATATATATGCAAAAGTGCGTTCTAAATGAACATCCCATTTTGCATGGGATAAAGCTGTGTATTTTGTTAAAACTTGCCAGTCAAGTTGCAAATGCAAATATTTTAATACTGTGCTATCAATTTCTACTGTATTTATGATAGAGTTTCCATTTATATTTACTGATACTGAATAAATAATCATTCCGTGAGGAAAATAAGACGATGCGATTTGATTAACGCAATCGGCTTGACTTTTTTGCATTTTGTTAATTTGTGCTTCCATGTGTTCTGAAGACATACATAAAGCTATTATGTACAAGATGAAAATGTATACTATGATATAAAGATATTTGCAATTCATTTTTTAGTAACTAATCTTGAATCTTCAATCCTGAGTTTAGCGGCTGCATTTTGTAAAAAATGTAACTGCAATTTATGAAAATGGAGACAAAATTAATATTATATATGATTAATTATTCTATTAATATTTATAAATATAAACACACGTTTAACTGTCTTTACCAATTTTTTTAACATTTTTTAACTTCCCGAAGGAAATGTTTTCGCCATAAAGTCCTATTTGCTAATTTTATGTTTTATCGACTTTTCAAGTGGTTTAATTTTAAAAATTCATCAAAGTTTAAGAATATACCAGAATTAAAATTTGTGTCAGAAGTCGCTTTTGTGATGTGATGAATCAAATTCTTTAAATTTCGTAAACGACTGAACAGATTACGCAAATTTAAAAGCCAGCAAAAATGTGCTTCTTTCGCAAAAATCTTGCTATTTCAAGTTTATGGATTCGTTTATGGATTCGTGCATTGTTTACAGAAATTAAATAATAATTATCTAAATAGATTCTTTAAAGTTTTGTTAGATAATGAGCAGTCTACAATACTTCTCTTTTGTTGTGTAAAAAATGTTACCATTAATTTAAATGATTAAATAATATCAAAGACTACTAATTACTAAACCGTGCCAATATTTTCGTAGAGCAGATGCTTAATATTTAACAAAATCATTTATTAATTTTTTTAAATAATTGTTTCGACGTATTTAATAAAATTCAACTTAGCGATTAATATAAACAATCTTACGAAAATTAGTTAAATATTATAAATTTAATAAAATGGGCGCTTTTAGGACATACAAGCACGTGTTCGTGCACTATAATTAAGGGTAGAGCCTACTTTAGAGGCTTAAAAAAAACGTTTTTTTTATTTAAATGTCATCCAAAACTAGCCAAGAATATATCCCTAAAATTTCAGAAACAAATTCAAATTATTTTCGGAGTTACAGAAGAAATAGTGAGCAAGCGTCGAGCATGTATACGAGCGGAACAAAAACTTTGAAGCAATTTCTCGATTTTTAATTTTTTCGATGCTTTCGAGAAAGATAGGAAGAAAACTGAAAGTCCTATCAAAAAGAGACAAAATTCATTGTATTCACGATTAAAATTTATCCCAGTTAAACCTAAAAAGTTATAATTAACCCACTTTTTAAACAATCTACAGTGAAATTTTTTGTCGGAAAACACCATTTCTTTTTTAAGTTGCAAAAAATTTGTGAATTTTTCACTTTTTTCTGGATTTTGTAGGTTCAACTAAAATCTACACTAGTAAAATTATAAATTTGTTTTGTATCTTTTGTTTGTTTCGCATGAAAATTGTGACCTGCATCTTTTCCGACAAATGATACCTGCTAAATGATAATTTCGTTTCAATTAAATATTTATTTCCTTTCCTAAAAATTCCTCAAAAAGAGCGACTTTTTCAAGCCTCTAAGGCAGACTCATTAATACGATTACTGATGTTATAATTGTTTTTGAGAGATATCAATTGAAAATCACAATGGTTAGTTTTTAGTGAAAGCGAAAACTGTATTTTCAAAATAAACAGTTAAAAATATTATTTACATAACTAAAGATCAATTTAGGTTCATTAAGTATAAGTCAATTATTACACATGTCGGGAAAATAATACAACTTGCCTTAAGGCAAAGTTACTTCTTACAACTACTTTTTTTTAATGTAAAAGTTTTTGCACAAAAACAATCATATACTTAGTTCTTAGACACAAATATAGATTTAACGTAATAATTTGTGTAATTTTATAATGATAGTTACTGTATCTTCAAATACGACCTTAGATAGCAAATATTTTGCTGAGCTGATTTAAAATAGATAATATAGATTATTCATGTATGTATTGATTAGTCTTCGTTCATAAATGAGATTGACTATTCTAATAACTGACCCATTTATCCTTATTTATGACCCTCGATCACACGCGAATTCTAGGTTAAAAACATGAAGTTGGGCGTCACGCGCTCGGACTTTTTCCGGTTACGTTTTCCGACAGGATAAACTGATTATGAGTACTTTTAATACGAACTATAATTCTATAATATTACACAATATAGCTATTAATGAATTTTTGAAACATCTACACTAACTCTGACCTCACAACTTTTATTATGTTCTGCAGCGGATTAAATTCATATATGCTTTAAGTTTTAATTAGTTAAGTTTCATATACTCACATTCAAGTCGTAATTTTTTCGGATACTGATCACAAGAAATTACGTTTGATGGCCCATGAATATATACAAAATGATTAATTGCATGAAAACATTTAAGTGAGCGTGTCTATTATCGCAACGACTATCTTGTAAAACGAAAACATTGTACCTACCGTAATTAATTTTGATGTTCGGTATTACCTAATGTTTATATTTTGTTTTAAAACAAATATATGTAAAATATCAAATTCAAATATTGTTTTTCGTAAGAGGTTAACGATGTTTACTTATTCAAAACAAATTCTTGAACAACGTAAAATAATTGATTAAATCTCAATAATTTATCAGATATATAGACAGATATATAATGAGCATGCAATAATTTTTATTAATCACTTAAAATTTAATATAGTTTTATATAAAGTCATAATTCTATATCGCCCTAAAATTATTTTAAATATGAACATCTAAAAATTAATTACTGAAATATTTTTGAATTTAATGGAAACTAGGTGCAAGTTGAGTTTGGCTTTAAGGTACCTTGCATAAACTTCCTGAATCGAAAAAGCAAATTGCAAATGGGGCTTCCATTTCCTTAAAAAAACATTATTTTCATCATATAAAATCTGAAAAAAACATAACTTTGTATTTTAAGAATGCAATGTATCATTTGGATTATTTAAAAAAATATTAGGTTCAGTTCGAAAGTTTTATATTTGAAAACACCCATTTAAATTACTACATATAACACACAACCAAGTTATCTTATTATATACATTTCATGTATTTCAATAATACATTTTGTACTAAAATTATAAAAATTGCTTTATAAAAGACTTAATTTTGTACATGTAAGCTCATATTCAATACGTCTTGTTCATAAATATTTATAGCTACAGAATATGACAAAAATTGACTGGAAACAGTAGCATTCACATATAATATTCAAACTTAAATAAATTATTTCATTCTTTTCATTTTTCTCTCTAATTTCTTTTGTTTTTTCTCATTAATCTCTTCGGGCTGCTCATTCCTTTGGAAAAACCATGGTTTCAGTACAGAACTCCATAACATTTGAAAAGCTCTTAAAGGAACCAATAAAAATATGAGCCAGAAATAGTTTGAGATCAATGATAATAATTGTGTTCCAGCCGTCAATATTATCAAATCTTTTACATGCCTAGAGGAATAGACAAATGATTTAAATATTATAGAACAAAGATTAAGATATGTAATTGTATTAAACGTACTCGGCTATTCCGCCTTCTAGATTTAAATCTAACCCACTGTCAATCAAGACACCGGTTTCTGTATATTGCGTTCTGGCCATGAACACCATGAATTGATAGCCTCCTATATATGCTACAATGCATATAATATTCATAAACTGTAAAATAAACCATATTTTCAAAACTGGCAATAAAGATTTAAACATTTAATCCGAAATGAAAATGTAAATATTTTTATTATTCAACCAGATTATGAAAAAAATCGAGATGGTATGTGAATTGAAGCTTTTGAAAATTTTAGTTGCATCAATAAGTGATATCCCTGTGAAGGTGCTTCGATTAAATAAAAATGCTATTCAAATTCTACAGCATTTTCTTTTGCAATTTATTGAATAAAATATTACCCAAAGCTGATAAGTATATTTTTATAATTTATAAAATCTAAGATACCATTCGTTTAAATATATTCTTGCATTGATTAGTTGGAAATAACGGCATTTGTACCAATTAACATAATATTGATCTGACAATTATTTTATGGAATAAGTAAATCTTGTGCTCGTTGATAATAAATATATACAAAATAATTAGCTTTTATAAATTGATTTTACAGTGATATAAACTTTTGTGTTGAAAACTTGATATGCGTTCATAATTAGGTAATAAGTATAGAGATTTATATTCAAATAATAGTCAAATAATTGTGCAATATCCTTTCGTTGAATATAAACTTTAACAGTAGTTTATATGTGGTTTTACACTACTCACAATAATCGTAGCTGAGAATGAATCTGAAAATAAAATTAGCATAATCGCAAAATACAGCAAACATGAACCAAGTCCCATATTTCTATAAAAACTTAAAGTCGATATATTCTCCTCAACAATTTGTTTGGCACCCTTAGTGCCTTGTTTACCCTTTTGTACCTAAAATAGTATTCAACATTAAATTCATATTTAAATTTATTCCAGCCACGTAATTTTTTAAACTTACTGCCATTATATAAGAAAATAAATAATATATTAATTCAAGAAAATATCACTGTTCAAATAATATTATCACAATTATTTGCACATGGTCTTAAATTGTTTCGTTTTATAAATAGGTTATGTTGAATTATTGACACACGTCATGACACGAAATAAATATGGCGAAGTAAACAAGAGTGAAGTTTGCTTATGTTGCCAAACGTTTGGCGGTAAATTTAAAATTTTGAACTTCAATTACATATATAATAATATCAAATATTTTGGATTAATTTGGTACAAATAATGAAAACCATTACTTAACAATAAGAAACCAATATTTAAAGATTTTTGAGAATAACTAATCAAAATCAAAAATTATAAATAGATTTTTAAATTTTTATTGGATTTATTTTGAAAATTGCAAATAAATTTTAATCTGTAAGTAAAATGATTTTCTTGTTTATGAAAGCTTCGTCCAGAATCTCTACACTTTTTGTGTTATGATAAATAAATAAAATAGATTTATTATATATTTAAAAAAAAAACAGAACTTTTGTAAAAGTGCAAAATATAACAACAAATCCAAAATTCTTGTTGAATTTACGATCAACAAAAGATATGAGATAAATATGTGTACATCATATAATTTTTAGCTATAATTTATCATATTATTATATTAATGAAAAATGTATTTTTAATATATAATTAGTAATATTAGGTAATCAATTCACCAATTTAGCTCGAAATCCTAAAAACAAAAATTTTGAGCTTTTACCTGAAGCTTTCACATTTTTTATATAATATGAAAGCTTCAGGTAGAAGCTCAAAAATTTTAGTATATCATGAAACCATCTAATTTGACTCTTGAGACAATAAATAGTAAAAAAGTAAAACTTTTGGTAGAACTTGCACATCGATCAGTTTTATATAAAGATCTTGCGTGAGATAAAATGTTTGTGTATGAAATTTATCATCAAATGAAATCTGGATTAAATTAATATCAGTGGCGTAGGATAAACTATTCCAAACTTTATTTGAAAAAAAAAATGAAAATGTTTAAATTTATGAATCGTTTTTATATACATAGATACAGAGCCCAATTCATGTCCAAAATCTATACAAATTTCATTAAAAAAAAATTCCAAAGTTGTTGCAGTTTTTTACAATCACTAGAATTATAATACGATTCATCCGAATGTTTAATTAAATTATCCAATAAAGTTGCCATGGCCCTCGTGAATTTTTTTCTTAAGTTCAAATTAAGTTCAAGGCTTCTTTACTCATTAAGGCAAAACATTTGCACTTACTTTATAAATAAATTAAATGTATCTGTACAAATATTAAATATACCATTTCATAGAATACTAGAAAATATAATTATAATTATAATATATTATATCATCCCTATAAATCTACTTCCCTGAATATTGTTCTGATTTAAAGCAATCATCAAACCTAGATAATATCGCATATTATATTAACCCAGTCAATATGTGTGTCAACTTCTGCCTTTTCACAAATATTGATTGAGTTTGTTCTAAATATTTTTTTTGATGCAATAATAAATTTTGCAAAATGTATAGAAATGCCATTGCAAATTCTAGAGTTGATCATGGGTCGAAGGATACCAGATTTATACAAGTTCGTCCTGGGGGAAAAGATCAACGAAATCAAAATTTACAAAGAGGTAATAATAATAAATATATATTTCGTTTTAGAAAAACTGATATTTATTTTTATTTGAGCTGCCAAATTATTCTCCAAAAGCAAAGGGCTAATTTTTCAAAAAAATTCTACGTGTTAAAAAATTTTGGTACCTGTATTAATATATATGGAACTATTTTTTTTTCAATTTCTAGTTCAAGATGTGGTAGAAAAAAGAAATATAGACGAAAATCAAGTCAAAGAATTGCTGAGAGACATGAAAACTAGTTGGATCTACCAAACGAAAGAATTTTTTGAAAGTTCTACCTTACATGGAGTCAGATATATAGCTGAGGAAAATAGACCATTTTTTGAAAAGTATGAAAAAAATCACATAATTTATTCCACACGTTAATTCCTATGTCAGTCATATGTGTCTGACATGAGATACATCAGATATATAAGTCTGACACACGCGATTTGGTTGAAGGAGAAAAAAGTTTTAAGATAGGGCCATGTCGGGCGTATATGTGTGACTTGAAATAGTGTTTTTCCAGAAATTTTGGCAAGTTTTCTTCTTTCTTTGATACATTTTTAACTAAATTATCCAATAAATATACCATGGCCCATGTGAATTTTTTTCTGATATTATCGTGGCAGATAACGTGTTAGTTGATCAGATAATAAATATCTGAGTTACTGACTTACTTTTTTACTGGACGGAAAATTAATGTTTATTCACATCATAGATATAAATACTATTCAGAATAGTATTAAATTTTTTTATTTGTATTTGTTGTAATTATTGATGTTTAAATTTGTATATTTTTTTAATTATTGTATTTTTGTTTACAACAAAAATGGTAGAGAATACAACAACTTAATAGAATTCTGATTGTGCAAATAATTAGAAATAAAGATTCATATTATAATTCGTTTTTATAAATTGTTCAAACTATTATATTTCAATTATAAATGTGTTATTTTATTCTTGCAATAGATTTAAAAATTAATTTAATTTCAGATTTATGTGGTTTTGTTTCACATCAATTGGCGCTGTAGCCACTTTAATTATTATTGTTAGTTTGTGGGAAAAGTTTCAAACAAATCCTACAATTACAGGTGAAAAATAATGAAAATTTTAGCTCATTCATCAAATTATTAGATTTACAATTAATAAATATATTAAATCTTTTGGATAGGTTTGGATACAGATTTTCACAATTGGGATGTACCATTTCCAGCCATCACAATTTGCCAGGAAAACCCATTTGATGAGACAAAACTGCAAAACATGATCAATAGGTAGAATAAGTGTTCTAAACATGTCAAAATGTAGATGTCAACTAAGGGCCGTCTAAAGGCGACACTCGTACATACAGGTCGACTTGTAGCGAAAGGGTTGATTCTAGGATCCTAGTTGTATAAAATCCACAAAATTTATATTCTGTGTGGTTCTAGGATACTATATGCAATTGATTTAGTACAAAGGATTTATGATCCCATCTTTTCCAGAAAGTGGCCAGCCCTTCGAGACGACGAAGAACGTTACGAAAAGATACAAGTATTTTTCAAAAAACTTGTAGGAATGACTTATGAAAATATGATTGATATACTGGCAGAATCCTTAGATGATGCTGATTTGAAAGAAGTAGACGATTTCAGGACATTGATTTTTGAAGTAACCTAGTAACTTCTTAGTTCAATGCATGTAGTAAGATTTTCTATGCATATTTCGCATATTATTTTAGATTGCAAAAAATCCAAAACAAGTTATTAGGGATTGCGACATCAAAGGACATATGGATGCTAATTGTACTTTATTTGTGGCCACCTTGACGGAACTTGGAATTTGTTACAGCATGAATAGTCTTCACGCAGAGGATGACATGCTTCAGTAAGAAAAAAAATATTGGAAATATGTTACTAGAAATGATGATAATGGTATAGTAAATTTTGGATACCATTTGGATCCAAAAACCAATTTGAGTATCAATTCAAGTTCGTTTCAATCCAATTTTTAAAAATTAAGGATGCATTTTGTTATCTATTGTTTTTTTATATAATTTTTGTTTATTCAGAAATAATCCAGGAATGCGTCAGGAATTCGATTTTAAAGACATCTTACATATCTATGAAACTGATTCGAAATGGTCAGTAAGTTTTAGGACTTATGGTGAATATGATCTAGCACACGGGGTGAGTCTATTATTACATTATTTGGTACTAGTGATACACCTTGTTACATTTTTGAATTCTTCTTTTTGAATTATTCTCTGAAAGCAGAATAAAGGAGTACCGAAAAAATCATTAAATGTAGATGATGACGTTACCTTATTACAACCATTTTTAGAAAAAGAGAGTTTAATTCCTAATATCGATTCATTTCAGATATATTTATATTCATTTGATGGACTGTTGGGCTTAGATATGTATCCCATAATAACTTGGTATCATAATTATGAAATTTTATATTTTTCGGTCAAAGAAACATATACGACGTCTGATGCATCACAACTTTCTATCAGGTATTTAATTTTATAAAACAGAATTTTTTAGATCCTTGATATCAAAATTACACTTAATTTTGATTTGCATAATAATAATTGAATTTGCAAAATTTCAAATGCATTTTGTCTTAAATGGTGTTTGATTACATTATTCCAATTATTATTCTACAGCTTTTAATGCAATTGTTTCAGAGATCCCAGACTCCCAAATTTGTGATGTTGATGAAATTTTTATTAATTTCTAATAATATTTTTTTAATTATGAATTATTTTCAGTCAAAGAAGATGCGTTTTTGAAAATGAAATGACAGATTTTAGTAAAACAGAAAAATACACATTTAGTGCATGTATGAGGCAGTGCAGAATTGCAAGATGTCTGGAATTTTGTTCTTGTATTCCACATTTTTATCCCAAAACAGGTAATCAAGAATTGCTTTGATTTATAATAATTCATTTTATATATCATTTTTTTAATCTAAAATTATTTTCTGTTGAAGGAAATCAAAGATATTGTGCTTTGGACGAGCTTACATGCATCGCACGTTCTGCCTCACTAATTACCACTGTGCAAGGATGCAACTGCCAACTTGGTTGCCACAATAGAGTTTATGAATTAGAAAAATTAGGAGAACCCACGTAAGATAAAAAAATGTAAATTATTTATATACTTTTATATTAAGCTCAAAAAAAATTCTAATCTCTCTTAGCTGGCAAAACGCCACGGGCCCCGCAAGCTCAGAAATATTTTTAATTCCATACTGATATGAGCCAATATATAAACAGTGCACTGTGCATGTGCATATGTCTCACGATCTTCTTCAACCGCCAAATGGCTTTTTTTAATATTATGTTTTATCCGAAACCCAGTTCTTCATTATGTCAATACAAATAAAATGTTTTTTGAATTATTCAAGTCGGACGCTAACTAACTAACTAACTAATTAACTAACGATAACAGCTGTTATCTCAAAAACTGAAATAACATTTTTGTACTTTTTGCCTTTCTTCTGAACGGCTGGACCTGCCTTTGCCAAAAACTAATCAGTACGTCTCCCCATCAATACGAATCGAATTTTTTTTTTAATTACTCAAATCGGTTGATCCGTGTTCCCGAAATCATCAACAAAAAATTGTCTTCTCACACACACACAGGTATATATTAATTTTTTCTAAGGTATGACAAAATGTTCAGAAACTTTTGAAACGTATTCATTTTCAATTACGGGTACTAATACTTACCCTATGGGAAGTTAAATATTTGTCTCGGTTTAATTATAATTTAAGTAGTGTAAAAAAATAGGTTTAATTCTTTTCTCAATATAACTTGTTTAATTTCAGTTTCAATGCCTCAACCGATCGGTCCGAACAGCAATTATTGAGACAAAATCTGAGCCTGGAATTACAATTCTTAACATGGCCCATGGTTCGTTATAAACGTGAAGTTTTATTCGGCTGGGTGGACCTTTTAGGTATATAAAAATCATGTAATGTATTTAATAAATATCAAAATATTTTTATTTTATTCACAGTTTCGTTTGGTGGTATAGCAGGATTGTTCTTAGGATTTAGTTTATTATCGGGCGTTGAAATCATTTATTATTTCACAATGCGCGCTTTCTGTATGGTGCATATAAATAGGGTATGTAAAACACTATCTTTTTCTTTGTATATTTATTAGTCTGATATTTGATACCAAACTTTTTTTTCAAACTTATAGTCATAAAGAATTTATTCATAGAATTAAATTTTCAGGATGAGTTGCGCCAATTTAAGCAAGAATTGGAACTGGCTAAAAATCGCAATTATGATTTATCTTATCGAGCTAATTGGCCATGGTTTGATGAGAAGTATGATGCACACAAAGACTTTAAAACTAAATCAAAGGTTAGTTGCTTAGCTTACATTATTTCTGCTTACGAATAATATACTCTGTTATTATTGCAGATCACAAACAAAAATTATATTACAAATGCTATAAGAAAGTAAAAATAGACTCTAAAATATTGAAAACGTTATAAAAGTTGTATGTAAAACTAATTTAATTAATTAAAACGAAATTTTATTAAAATATATAAGTTTATTTAAATCCAGCCTCTCACCAACCATCACAGGTACAATATAAAAAGAATAATATTGAATACTTTTATGCAATTAAATAATATTATACAAACAATAATAGTAAAGCATTTCAACTTGGTGTTAATTTGGCCATTGGTTTTACCAAAGCCAAAATTCCTGCAATGGACGATATGACTCCTAAGCTGCCAACCATTGCTGGACTGAGTCTTGTATATCCCAAAGCAGTTAAGGGGATAAAAAAATCACAAGCATTTTTTATTGTGTCCACGAACACATCAGTTTGTCCTTGCACGCATTGAAAACCTCTCAAAAATACTGGCAAAACATCATTTATATTAATAGGGCATACACTTTCGCTTTTTCCTACTCTCGTCAAACCTTGTCCTTTCTTTGCAAATATGATACCTTTGTTACACTTTAGTATATTCATAATTTCATATACATCTCTGACCAGATTCAAAGTAATGCTCATTAACCAGTATCTATTGGCGATATTGTTCCATTTCTCGAGATTAATATTTTGAAAAACACCAGATCTTGCAAACCATATAATGTGATCAGCAAATAAAAATAAGGCAGTTGCTAGTTTGCTCAATGTCAATGTAATTCTAATTGTGAGGTCTGGATAATGTATAGTTGACAATGAAGAGTAGAAAACATCTATGCATTTTCCCAAACGCAGCACTGTAAAAAGTGTGTTTAGTTAAAATTTTAGTAATTTTACAATTGAGCAGCATACAGTATAACTGTATGGTATAGGGTGATAGTAAATTCATAGTAAATTCTGGTGATGGTAAATTCTGCCTTGCGCAATTGATGAATGTGTGTCAGGAATGTAGAGTATAATTAACAACAAAGGTATTGTGCAACTTAGGTACTATCAATGATTCATTAAAGGTGTGTTAATGATATCAGATAGATTATCATGACAGCATTCAACTAAATGTATTTCTTAACACTATTTTGTGAATTAAAGTTTACAAATTAATGTATTATATCTTACATTTCCTGAATGAGCTGAATGTAAACTCCAAACTTTTCAACTTGTCAATTACTTCCTGATTTTGTCCATGTTTCTGCAGGAAGTCCCACAAAGTTCTGCTCAGATACTGAAGAAGTCTTGCAATTAGAAAACAGTATACATTGTATAAGATTATAATGTTAACTTGTGAATTATTTTGTAATATATTACCTAATTATTTTATCCCTGCCTCCTGCTTGCGCATTTAATTTTATATACAAATCCATTTTTAATAAATCGGGAAAGGTTTAAAGGTCAATTTTATAAATTTAGATAAACATGGTAAAAAGGTTATTTTGCTCAGAAGATAAAATGGCTGACAGTTAATTGTTGTATTATTTTATTAAATGCTACATTTTGTATTTGAATAAAAGAAATTTTAATGAATGTCGGAAACATTTCATATTTGTACACAAATTTATAAATATGTTGTTAAAGACAAATGTATTTTTTTTGAAAAACTTATAATTTTTAATTTTAACAAACTTCATTAACATAAAAACATGATTACCATTTGACAGAAGGCAAGGCAAAACGTAAAAAACATAAAAAGTTTTAAAATTATTATTATACAACATCATACCTCAAATTTAATCAAATTTATGTTTACTTATCTATGAATTTAATATTGTTAATAATTATTTCATTACTTATATATACTAAATATAAATTTCGAGATGTAAAAACAAGATATATTAATAAAAACGGGCTAAAAATGTGTATTACCTATTTAAAAATGTAAACAGTTAAAATACTAAGATTAAATTATTTTTATTAAAAAAAATACAATTTATAATAATAAGTAATGCTATTTATAAAAAAGCATTTTTTTTGAGAAATAATACTTGAATCAAATTTCGTGAAAAAACACATTTGAAAATTGCGCCATTTCTTCGCTCATAAGAATGGCAGACGAGTACGGATGACATTTGTTTTCAAAATAGTAGTATGTTATTTGTTTGATAATTAAAAAGATTAAAATGTAAAAAACAATGGAGAATGACCCCGAAAAGATCGGTTTAGTTGATTTACTAAATACAAAACCTTTAAAAGATTTAAAGTCTTTACTTTCTGCTGTTACTCAACAACATTTAAAACTTGAAACCGAGGATAAATTAGGTTAGTTGAATGAAAATGTCATTTTTCAGGCTTATATATCTTTTGTATTCTACTTTGCAGAAATTATTAATGCTATAATACAGCATTCACCTGACGCCACTAGTATATTAAAAAGAAAAGTATTATCATGTTCAACTTTATACACATACTTGCACCAAAATTCAGTTCGAGTTTATTCTCCAGTGACAAAGAAAAGTCTTATTGAATCTATCCTAAAATTTTGGAAAGATCGTGCTAATAATATTGATAAACACGAATCTTCACAACAACAACATTGTATATTGCAACAACAATGTGAATATTTAGATGAATATGACGATATACAAGAATCTGAAAGTGATTCAGTATCTGAAAAAAGAGAATGGTCAGTAGTTAATTCAAATATAAATAATGAAATACAACGAGAAACCATTAATTTTCCTATCAATGTCATGGCTAGAATGTTTTCTGAGTGGTTTTATAAAATGTTTAATGCAGAAAATGGATTAACTTCAGATCATTTCTGGCCAGATTCTTCATTGCGCGTTCATATTAAATCAGGTGATAATGTTGATGTCCAAGAAACCCTAAGCAATGCAGGGGATGTAGTTGATCTATTGGAGCGCACTAAATGTTCACATGGTTTATATTTCAATCCAAATATTTCTCATGGAGGTGTTCAAGGTCGAATTGATGTACATGGATTAGCATTAATTGTTGCCTGTGGAACTTTGCATAAAGACAATTTGTGTGTTGGAGTATTTCAACAAATGTTCGCTTTGGCAAGAGATCCACAAGCAGATAATAATTGGAAGGTCAAAAGTATTGAACTCAAATTGAATAGTCAAAGTGTCAATAATATACCAAGCATATTAGATAGTGATTACCGTAATAATATACTGGCGTTACCTGTGCGTGATGATCTTGTGTGAGAATGAAACTTGTGTTAATAGAATGTTTTGATTGCTAATAAATAAATATTAAGTTAAAATTACTAATTTATATTGCTTATATTTAAGAGTTTAATATGAACTAATTGCTTTTGTTGATGATATATTTGTTAATTTTACGTATTTGAGAAGAAATTGTGTAGCTCAATAAAATATAAATGTTAGAGAATAGATTTATTTATACTTATAAATTTATTTATACTATACTAGAAAAGGTTGTCAACCAATTAATTGTCTAGGAAACCACATCTGATGATGATAATGATCTGTTATTTATATATCATTAATTTTTTTTCCAATATTTATGGGATATTGCAGGATAAAATTAAGTTAAATAAATAGATAAAATTAAGTTATTAATTACATGTCTTGATATATTGATCAAACTATTATAATTGTCATGGAATATGAGATAATGTTTTGCGTTGAATTTTAAGAATATAAGGTCATTGACCAAGATTTCGTTCTATTTCGCCTAAAGAAATGTTAAAATATGTGCATCTTACAATGTTGCCAAATGCCATGACCTTAAAATAGTAATTAGAACTTTCGCCGTAAAAATAGTCGTAAAACATGCATAATTTTTGAAATCATGCAAGTCTTGAGGTCTTTCAGGTCATTCATAGATATCTTATGTTAATTTGATTCGAAAAAAAATTAATTTTAAAAAACGTGGATCGAATGTCGCGATATAACCTATAAAAAGTAGCTGCACACTGTTGACATTCGTCTCGCTCTGACACCAGCTGTAATATATGTCTTACTCGTTCTAGTATTAGCTGACGTATGCATAAGGAATAAAGTGAGTGAAAAGCCAACACGGCTTAGTTTTGTTACAATACTTGGTGTCGTCGGTACGTTAATTCTTTAGTTTATTAATAAATTTGTGCTATTTTTGTGCTTTTCGAATAATCCTTTTGAATTCTTATGTTTTAGAAAGACATCCAAGTTGACACCTATATTTTAATGAGATTTTTACGTTAGAAAAAGGCCGGATTTTTCTACATTGCAGTACTGTAAGTACATGTCGCAAAATATGTTTAATTATACATTCCCGATCTTTCAAAAACCTAAAAATTTCATTTGTTTTCAAGTATTCAATCAATAAATACTGCCCACTCAAAATTTACAAGTCACGTATACTCGTACCGAATTTCGTGTAACAACTTACACGTACTACAAAAATGATTTAGTTTAAAAAAAATCTTTTTACAAAATTTTAAATCATGTGCTGAAATCATGTATTTTACTCTAGAATCGAAAACGTAGCGATGGTCCAAATGTGCGTATGACACGTTGGCATGTTTTGTATCAATGTGTGTACTTTATCACTAAACATATGTTAATTGATTTTTAATTATTTATATATTTAAATAGTACACTCTTTTTGAACTTTGGGCTAAGATTTTTAGTAATTGAAATGTAAAATTGGGTAAAAGAAATAGGTTAGATTCGAGAGGCCTCCTGATTATTTTTAGAAATTGTGTTTCTCAAAGATTTCAGGATTATCTACTTATTTGGTCAAAATGTAGAAATTAACCCAACATAACCTTTAAAATTTTATGTAATCATTTATCATAATTTCCTTGCACTCACTTTTTTTATGTGTGCTGTGAATAACATAGTTTTTAGCAGATTAGAATAGCTTTATTTTAATACAATACAGCTTAGATTTTCATACAATATAGTCAAATATTTATCAATATTTTTAGGCCGTGATGTAAGAAGTAATTGTAAATTTATCTAAACTCATCTGTTTTGTACTTATCAATGATACTATTAATTAATTCTCTCAGGTGCTTCTCTTAGCAATTATTTATTTATTAGTTATAGAATTATAATCTATATATAATATCCTATTCAATATATAATTTATTATTATAATATTCTATTCAAGAATGTTATTAAATATCATATGACCAAAAGAAGATGTCATGGAATATATTTTATAGAATATGCTATATTTTAATAATTCTATAAATCTCTTGTACATAGCTTTGTAGTATTACTATAAATTCTTTTATATAAAAATTGAAACACATCTTGTTCTAAAATATGTCGCAAGACAATGACAGACAATATATTTGTTGCACAAATATTATGATTTACACATGTGGTTATGCATCTGTACTAATATTCTGAAAATAAAAAAGTTGAGCATTAGTGATCAGGGTTCCCTATCATAATAGCTCAGCAGTCGGGAAACATTTTTAATCATTTTCCTAAAATATTTTTGTCTAATTTGATATTACCCTCATGGCAAAGAGAGATTACCCCACTACGGTCCTCTATGTTGCAAATACAGTAAATTTCAATTAAAAATACATACTTTTTACCCCAAAAATTCCATTTTTACCGCATTTGGGGTAATTTACCCCTATTCCCCAATCACTGTAATACCTCCAGAAAATTAAATCATAATAAAAAGCACATTAATGTCTCCATTTTATCATCAAACTTAAATAAATTATAATAATTTTTAATCACATGAGTCTTAGTTAGAAAATGCATGCAAGTCTATAGTTTGTGTATACAAAGCATATTCTTATTGATGAATCTTCCTTTTCTGATAGTGTACTGTAACGACTTGGCGCGAATTAGGACATTCCTACGTTAGTAATGCAGCAAGCAGTTATGGACTCTGCGGAGTTTTATCAACCACAACAACAATTAGGAGGCCAAATGATGTTGGTCGAAGGAGTGCTCAGAGCCGATACTCTTCCATTTGAGCCTCAAACCCAGACCCCAGCTAGTAGTTATGACGCTCTATTCCCTGCTCTTCCTGAAAGTGCTCCTTCTTTGCAAACGAATAAGAACCACAATGTTCAAAGAAGTAATTATAATATGAGAGTTGGTTCTTCAGTAGTGACTCATGTCTTCAGAGTTCCTTTGGAGGAGAGGAAATTTGACCATAGTGATAAATTTGGTTAGCACTCCTCCAGTTAAAAATAATCTTATACATAAATTATCTGTGTTTTTAAACAAATATTTTAATAGGTGAAGGTGAATCAATGAGGACATGCCAAAATATTATGGTAGAAACTGGTGCCCACATAGAAATATCAAGCAGCAAAGATCAATCTCTCACTTTTCTTGTTACTGGCAAACAGAGTGATGTCTTGGATGCTCGCAGAAAAATTTTGACTAACTTCCAAACCCAAGCTAGCCGTAAGGTTAGCATTCCCAAGGAACACCATCGGTGGATTTTAGGTAAATTTATTTTTTTATTATTTGTAGTAATCTTGTCCAATTTCATTTGAATTATTTATTATTTTTAGTTATATCAAATTATATATGAGACATATATATTTACAAATGAATCATGTCTAATTGATTGAATTATGTTTTCAGGCAAACAAGGAGCAAAGTTGAAGGAACTTGAAAAAATTACTGCTACCAAGATTACCGTCCCAAGCATTAATGATGCTTCTGATGTTATTCTAATTGTAGGCACTAAAGAAGGTATTGAAAAGGCTGAGCATGAAATTAGAGTCACTTCTGATGAACAGTCTAAAAAAGCTTCTGAAAGAGTATCTGTACCCAAGATGTATCATCCTTTCATTTTTGGTCCTTACAATGAGAATTTGAATGCTATGACTGCAGAAACTGGTGCCAGAATTAACATTCCTCCACCTTCTGTAATGAAAGATGAAATTGTCATCGCAGGTGAAAAAGAAGGTGTATTGGCTGCTAAAGCTAAAATTGAGGCTATCTATCATGAAATGGATAAAAAATGCACGGCTGTCAGTGTGGAAGTTCCAAAATCTCAGCATAAATATGTTATTGGGCCCAGAGGAGTTACAATTCAAGAAATCTTGCAATTGACTGGTGTTTCTGTTGAAATGCCACCAAGTGATTCCAGCACCGGAACCATTACTTTGAGAGGACCTCAAGAAAAACTAGGCCTGGCTCTGACTAAAGTCTATGAAAAAGCCAACTCTGCAAAAGCTGTTAGTATTGACGCTCCATCATGGATTCATAAATATATCATTGGAAAGAAAGGGTCAGAAATTAGAAAAATCACACAAGATTTTCCTAAAGTTCAAGTTGATTTTATAGATAATGAAAATAAAATAAAGATCGAAGGACCCCCAGAAGAAGTTGAAAAGGCTCATGCAGAACTTACAGCAAAAGTTCAGGAATATGTTGATAACTTCGGATTTGCTACTTTGAACGTTGATCCTAAGTATTTCAAGCATATTATTGGCAAAAGCGGAGCTAACATCAATAGATTAAAGGATGAGACTGGTGTCATAATAAACATTGATGAGCAGCATGGCCAAAATCAAATTAGGATTGAAGGTAAGTTTTTTCAGGCCATTAATAATACAATCTATTATTGAAGTCAAATGAAATTTCTTTGCATAACTGAACTAAGTTACTGATTATTAATTATTTCATAATTTGTCTCAGGTGTTGTTGAAGGAGTTGAAAAGGCTAGACAAGAACTTGAAGAAATGGTTATGAAGTTGCAAAATGAAAAAGAAAAAGATATTATAATTGATCATAGGCTTCACAGAAGCATAATTGGTAACAAAGGTGAAAATATTAGAGAAGTAAGAGATAAATTTAAAGAAGTACAAATTTTATTCTCTGGACCTGGTGAGAAAAAGGATTTGGTTAAATTGAGAGGACCGAAAGATGATGTTGATAAATGTCATAAACATCTGATGAAAATGGTTAAAGAATTGGCTGAGAGTTCATATATGATTGAAGTTCCCATTTATAAACAGTTCCATAAATTCATTATAGGAAAAGCTGGAGCTAACATTAAAAAGGTACAAATGAAAAAATAAGTGATATATTCCCATATTTCACAAATAAAAGAAAACTACTTATATAAAGTATTTTGTTTTAGATTCGCGATGAAACTCAAACAAAAATTGATTTACCAGCTGAAGGAGATACAAATGAAGTAATAACCATCACTGGTAAAAAAGAAAATGTTGAAGAAGCGAAAAAATTAATCCAGAAGATTCAAAATGAATTGGCCAATATTGTTACTGAGGAAATCACAATTCCTCCTCAGTATTACAACTCACTTATTGGAGCAGGAGGAAAATTGATTCATTCAATAATGGAAGATTGTGGTGGCGTCATAATTAAGTTTCCTAATGTCGAAACAAAAAGTGATAAGGTAAGTTATTTTATTTTCATTTTGAATAGAAAATAACAAGAACAAATTCATATTCATAATCATAATTGCAAACACGTATTTATAAGACTAAATTTAATAATAGAAATGCAGAATTTAAAATGTACTTTTTATAATTAAGAAAATACATATAATTATCATATTACAATCATAGAATTGTATCTAGTTTTGATCTTAATTGCAGGTTACTATAAGAGGTCCGAAAGAGGATGTTGAACGTGCCAAACAACAACTTTTAGAATTGACTACAGAAAAACAATTATCTAGTTTCACTGCTGAAATCCGTGCAAAATCTCAGCATCATAAATTTTTGATTGGCAAAAATGGTGTCAATATCAAGAAAATTCGTGATCAGACTGGTGCCAGGATAGTTTTTCCTAGTGAAAAGGATGAAGACCAAGAAGTTATCACAATTATTGGAAAGAAAGAGTCTGTGGAAAATGCTAAAAAACAACTGGAAGTCATTATTAAGGAAATTGTAAGTTTATGTTAATAATATGGTAAATTATATAATAATAAATTACCTATTGTGGTTTAATTTTATTTTGGTATTATTTTATCAGGACAACATAACTGAAAGTGATATGGTTGTTGAACCAAGACATCATAAACATTTTGTTGCAAGGCGAGGTGAAGTTCTTCACAAAATCACTGATGAATGTGGAGGCGTTACCATATCTTTCCCAAGACCTGGAGTGCAAAGTGATAGAGTTGTGCTTAAGGTTAGATAGAAATCAATATTCATTTTTAACTGTTATTGTAATTATGTTTAGCTTAGTTATTCTTTATTTATTTTTAATTCTTTTGTGAAAAATATGTAAAATGACCCAATTAATTTTCCAGGGAGCTAAAGAATGTATTGAGGCAGCTAAATTACGTATTCAAGAAATTGTAGATGATTTGAATGCTATGGTTACAGTAGAGTGTGTCATTCCACAATGCCACCATAGATCTGTCATGGGTGCCAAAGGTTTTAAGGTTCAAGGAATAACTGCTGAGTTTGATGTTCAAATCAAGTTCCCCGATAGAGTTAACCCAGGTAGCAACAAGCGCATTATGAAAATAACAATTCATACTCTGGATCTCTGAATGAGTCATTTATCTTTCAGAATATCAAAACACCAATGAAGACCAACAAGTAAATGGTGACACCGAATCTTCTGATCACAATGAAACTGTTCGTCAATGTGACATCATTCGTGTTACTGGCAAACAAGAGAACTGTGACCGTGCTATACAAGCTCTCTTGGACTTGGTGCCAATCACCATTGAAGTAGATGTACCATATGATTTCCACAAATCTATTATTGGCCAAAAAGGCAGATATGTTAGAGAACTTATGCAAAAATATGATGTTCATATCTCTGTCTCTCCACAAGAACAGAAACTGAATGCTATTAAGGTGGGTCATTACTTGATGTATTAAATATATATTGAATATTGAATGATTCATAAATTATATTATTAATTATTTTGTTTCAGATTATTGGAACTCAAACTAATGTTGAGGAAGCAAAAATAGCAATTGAAGAGCGTTGCAAAGAATTAGAAGCCGAACAAGAGGATAGGAAACTACGATCATTTGAATTGAAATTTGAAGTTGATCCTGAATACCACCCTAAAATCATTGGCAGACGTGGTGCCGTGATTAACAAAATACGTACTGACCATAATGTGCAAATCAATTTCCCAAAACGAGGTGATCCTGATGAGAACATAGTCACTATTCAAGGGTATGAAAAGAATGCTCATGAAGCTAAAGAAAGTATAATGAAGATCGTAAATGAATGGGTGAGTAGTAATTGATATATAAATTCTTATGTCTACCTTTAAAATTAAGTAATGTTACAATCAAGTTATTTATAATACCATAATATTGCTGTATGTACATTCAACAATTTGATAAGTTTTTATATATATTTCTAATCTTATTTTCTATTTTTTTTATATTCCAGAATGATCTTTACAAGGAACAAGTAGAAATCGATTCAAGAGTTCACTCACGTCTAATTGGTGCTAGGGGTAGGAACATTCGCAAGCTGATGGATGATTTCAAAGTTGACATTAAGTTCCCCAGAAGTGAAGATGCTAACTGTAATTTGGTTACTATTATTGGACCAGAAGACAATGTTCTGGAAGCTAAGGATCATTTACTCAATTTGGAGGAAGAATATGTGAGTTGATAATATGTAGTATTTATCATTTATCAATTTTAATTTCTATAAATCAATTAATAAAGGAGTTTATATTTTCATAAAAAAAATCTGATTCGCTAATTTTTTGTTTTCTCAACGTTTCAAGCCGTTTTAAAGCGAATGAGAACAAATTTGGAAAGAGTATGTGTGTGTGTGTATGTCATTCGATGCATCTCGATGAGGACTATCGTTTATCAATTTTGCGCGACGATCAGCCAAGCCGTTTCTTTGTAAATAACAGAAAAGTGAAACATTTTCCGTCTACGTTTTAGCCCGCAATTCTGAATCGATTTTGAAAATTCAAAAACTGTTTGAAAGATATTGTTTGGGAATTGTACTGATTATTTTTTTGTAGAGAACGGCCGGGCTGTTTTATTGTAATAGTGTTAAAAAAATTTTTTTTAAAAATTAAGTTGATTATTTACACATATCGGGAAGTTCATGTAACTTGCCTCGAGACAAAATACCAATACCAACTAGTTTTTTATTTAATTTACTCATTTTTAATGTATTCTTTATTTATTACAGATGCAAGATGTGAGCGAAGCCGAGTTCCGTGAAAGTTTCCGTCCGTCTGCTCCCGTTCTCGGCGACTCATTCGATGACCCCAAACTTCGTAAACACCAGAATCAAGCTGATGAATCAAATCAACCTCGCGAGTTTGTTGTGAAAGGTGGCCCTTGGGAACAAAGAGCTCCAAATACTGCATCTGTAGAAGAGTTTCCTTCGTTTGGACGTAATTTCGGTCCAGCTCTATCCGAACCTGCGCCACCTGTCCAGGCTAATGGCGCATGGGGCCAACCTCGTTAAGATAAAGATTATTAAAACTGAAGGCTTGAAGTTATTGAAAGTGGAAGAGCTGTTTGTTGTATCGGTTAGTTGCATGTGTTTCTTAATTGACAACTAATCACCATGTTTAACATGTGTCCATCATCATGTGGCAACTATGTGGATTAGTTGTAACATTTGTGCATGTTATAAATTAGCAAAATTTTCAAAATATTTTTTTTACATATCTCGGCATGCATTTTTTTCGTATGCAATTTTTGAATGATTACAGAACTGCAACTTTTTTATTGTGGTTGTCTTAATACAAGCTTGTCGTTTCCTATAAAATGAATGTTCATTTAAATTTTGATTATTAATTTTGCACATATGTTTGTGCATATTTTCTATTTCTTATGCTATTATTTTCTAGTTCTAATGCGGTTTCGCAAATTTTTCCATGCTGTTTGGTACAATTGTTCTCACGTTTTATTAACATTTAAAAAGTAAACAATGCTTTGTTCCAAAAACTACACATCATGCAGCCTTATTGATGCAAGTCATAACTGAACAATTAAACACGCACAAATTCATAACAAACTAAGACAATATTTCAACCAAGACATAGTAATTACTAGTCAGATGCAAAGTTTGAAAAAAATGTGGATCATCTGAAGATAAATGATGTCATAGTGACATTCTCAAATGGAGCTATTTTTTTGTTAATTTTTTTTTTCTGAATTTAAATAAAAGTTTAATAGGACATAAAAATTTAATAAACTTTTTATTACTTTTGATGGATCCGCAGACTTTTTAAACTTATCAAATATCATATATCATTTATAACAATTGTGTTTGGTCAATTATTGTACCTTATTTAAAATGATTTCTTGATTGGTCAGTTTAGACAAACATATTTAATTTAAGCGGAAGCCATACTAATTCGAATTTCGTATTATTGAAAAGATAAAGGTGAAGAACATATCATTTTATTTTAATGTATACGTTTCCTTAATATTCTAACTAAAACATTTATTATTTAAAATATCAAGTAAATTAAATACAATTTTGTCAGGATTTATTAAATATTGTATATGAAATTTATTTTGTTTAAAATGAGTGAATTAAATAAATTTTTAATATAATTATTTATTATGTTGATATTGTTAAAATCTGACAAAGGCACTTAATGCTTTCAAAGTGTTGTAATTCAATAACTTGAAAATGATCACTAAGTTATTTAATCAAACTTTAACAAACTCGCGAGACGATGTATTATTTATTTACCCACTTCAAAATACTCTACATAAGACATCGAATAACTCCAATTTGTCCATGTACTGCTGCTGCATTATTAAAACGAAAACTTGAAGATTATTAAAAATTAATTTTCTGAAAAAAAAAATGACCTCGGCTTGACTAATTGACATGAATACAAATCACGAAATTGGCATTCAAATTGTAAAAGAATGAGACAAAAAAATAACATAACAAGACTGCGTTTGAATGAATATGCATTAATTTAAATTTAAAAGAGTGGAGGATGTGACGACACCTTAGGTAAAAAAAATATGTGAAAGTTAGTATTTTTTATGTAAATGAATAATGATTTGTAGTACTTTGTGAGAGATAAATAAAAGGAACATTAACTTCTTCAGGAAGTTAATTTCGTGTGTTGAGCACTTACAATACCAAAGTTGTCGTCCTTTTCCCAAAGTCTTATGTTTTATGAATGATTGTTTCTTTTTTCGAATATTTTTTTCTAAATAGATCAACGGGCCAAATTATGTAAGTACCTGACGTTTCTTGTGAATGTGTATATGGTATTTATGTCTTACATGGATTTTTGTTGTTCCGAATTCTTTTTACAATTATCTATTTGTGCAATTTTTGTTTAGGTAAAAAGAAAGTTTACCTAGAAACTGAAATAGCAGTAATACATATCTGTTTGGTCTAAAGTTTATTTATTTTTGAAAATTTTGTAATATTTATGTGTACATAAATGAGGTACTAAAAATATATAACTACATATGTTTAAGAATCAATAGTAAAATTGCATTATAATTGCTCGAAGTTAAAGTTTTATTTGTTAATCAATATTTATATCAAAAAATTTAAAATAATTCACTAGTTTGTTTCAGTACATAGAAATATAATGGAATTTTACTTTTAACATTGTATATAAACTATACTTTACAAATTAATTGTAATATATAAATATAATTATATTATTTCATAAAATATTTGTTCTCTGACTAGTGTAGATGTTTTCGTGCTTTCTAAATAAGGGAAGTTATATAGGCCTGTATGCCTTTCTGTGAACAACTCTATGTATGTTCTAATTTTGTTAGGATTTATTTTTATAAAAATGAATATATAAATATATAACCACATAACAGACTTTATATTTTTATTTAACTGAAACTATTCTAATTTCAGGTTTAATTAGTTGATTCTGATTCTAATTTAATGAAGTCTGAAGATTCTAGAATCCATTGCCTGATCCAAACTAGACTCATTTCATCCTCTTCTGCAAATTTTCTTATTAAAATATTTATCAATCGTACGATCATATCTAATTCGTGCAAATTTTTTGTTATTTCATGGGCTGTTAGTATGAGTTTTAAGTTTGTCAGACTAGCTTCTGGAACACTCTGAGGAGAGAAGAGAACATTCATGAAAGAATATTTCTATTGATAGAAAATAACATCAGTGCAAATTTTTCAAAAATAAAACACAATATTTTTTATGAGGATATTTTAAACGCAATGAAAAAAATATTTTTACTTTATTTTTTCTTACAACTTATTGAATAATGCTTTGGGAATGTATAAAAAAATCAAATTTAAATATACTCTAGGTCTTTCATGAAGTAGGGGGTCTCAAAAATTGGCACCTGATCATATCCATGATTTTTGCGCTCCAAATAATCTAAAGAAATATATGATTAATCTAGAATAATGTTTATATTGTATGCACTCTGCTGACAAGTTAAAGTATTTTTTTTTCACGAAATTACAACTTTTTTTTTTATTTTCGATTTTTTTAAAAAAAATAATAATAGTAAACGGAATTTGAGGACAATCGTAATTCATAAAGAATATGTACGTTGAAATTTTAAAGTAAATCGGTTTAGTAGAAGTTGAGAAATCGTGGGTATCGTACAGGAAAAGGCAGTTTCGAACAAAAAGTTTGCGGAAGAAGAAAATAGGGAATAATGGTGGCCAACAGCTATATCTCAGAAAATAATTTCATTTATGAAAAAGTCTTCTCTGGTACACATATTCTTGAATAGTTAATCTTTGAAAATGTGAAAAAAAACAAGATTGACCAACCGAATCGATATAAATTTTAGGCCAGAAAAGCCATTAAAGCTTACGAAATATTTACATATAATATTTGAAAGATTTTATTTTGACTATCGACTCTACATGACCAATCCTATTAATCCTGATCTTCTTAGTTGATGTAAAAATTATATTGAAAATTTTACTGGTTCGAAATTCCCTTGCAAAATACGGTTTTTACGAAAGTTCCTTGAAATGACTTAAAGAGACACAATCAGTATGGTGCCCAATAGTCAAAAAATTTGATGTACTAGGTCTTAAATTGATCGCCATCTTTCAATATTATTTTTTGTGTTGACATTAGATTTTTTTGATAAATAATTGTTAATATCTATGTGTTAACATTTATATTTTTAAAAAAATATGTACCTCGATGCCGTACATATCGCATAGCAATTTCCAAGCCAACATCCTTGTCAGACAAGCCCAACTTTGTCCAAGTGACAAAGTACTATAGCACAGATGCAGTCTATCTCCTTTATCCAAGGATATCTTATAAATTTCATCCACTATTTTTTCTACGTACTCTGTTTGATGAAATCTTTCGGGCACAGACGTGACTATTTCTTTAAAAATTTGTCTAGGATCTACAATCAGAGGTTGTTTTTGAAGGTTCAGTATGCAAATTAGATGAACCAAATATAAAATGTCCTCGAATCGATCTAAGGAACAATTGGTGACGATTTCGTGAACTTGGCGAAGTTTGGCTATTCTTTCATTTTTATCCTGGGCTTTGATTAAGGCTTCTAAACTTTCTGTAAGATTTTCCAACGTTGAGGGGTTTTGCTCTATGAAGTTTTTAATGTCCTGAGAATAGACAAAATATATTAAATATTAGGACTAATGTCTTGTTAATTTATTCAATTATTTGTATCAACATCGTACTTGAATAACTAATCCTTTCCTGGGGTGAAATGAGGCATAGTCTTCCGAGCTCATTTGCGAATTTCTGTGCTGCGAAGCCATCTGGTGATATTGTTTTTTGAATTATATATCAAATGACTTCATTCTGATTTTTTTTTTAAAGAAAAAGCTTTTTTAAGTATTATTTTACATATTTTTTTAAGTTAATTTTGACATTTATGATTTTTATTCATTTATTTATATACTGAGATTATTTAAATTGAATCATAAAATACATTAACCGCATGGAACAATCTGAAGATTTTGGAATGTGGTTTTGGAGAAGGCTAGATAGTATAAAATAAACAAGGTGACGAATGAAGAAGTACTGCAAGAATTGAAAAGAATTTGGATATGATCATTGGGAAAGGAGTGTTCTCAACTAGTTACTTTTTCGACTTTGCACTGTAAAAGAAAGTTCAGGAAATAGATGGTCATGGTATAAGGTCACGATAGCAGAAGTTTGAGAAGAAAAAACAGAATTAAAAACGAAGCTGGAAAAAAGGAAAATTGAAATATGGTTCTCCCATTTGGGCAGACCATTAATAGTGCAGAGGAAACTTTGTTTCAAAGCTAATGGCTGCGTTAATGATGCGTGGCTATTAAGGGCGTCCATTAATCACGTGAACGAGTTTTTAATGATTTTAATGATTTTTGGACCTCCCTCCCCTATGGTGATACATTCAAAATTACAAACCCTCCCCCACCAAACATCACGTGTATTTTTAGTTACGTGAAAAAACTGTAAAAATTTTCAATTTTTTGAAAGTGTTTGAACTTTTTTAATTTTACTATGCCCCACCCTCCCCCACGTGATATTTCGTGATTTTTTGTCAACCCCCCCTCCACCTAAAAACCTCATGTGATTAATGGACGCCCTCATAAGTATCCTTAACAGTGTCCCAGAACTCAACGTCAAGTCGAAAGAGGTTGATGACATTGATCATAAGGATCATGAAAACAAAAATAGATAGAATTTTTTACAGAAAATTTATCTCACGTAGTTTGAAACTTATGAGCTTTTAAGAGCAGCCTAGCGCTTTGGTAAAAATCTTACCGTTTTTTGGTAAATTTTTGTGAATTCTGTTTTTTCAAACTTTGGATCCGTACTCGTAATTTTACATTTTTAGAATCACAGTAAAAAATGACACAAAATCACACAATTTTTCAATCCTGTATTGTAAATGCTCCAAATTTTGATGGCATTTACCCACACCCTTT